TTACCATTCGTTTTAATAGTATAACCAAAATATTGTAGTTCCCATTCTCGTATGTCAAGAAAAAATCACTGAGTGTCATGTTGTTTTAATATCCACTCACTGGTTTTCACGACCTTCAGAGAGATTATCAACAGTCATCAAAGCTCACATCTCGAAAGTTTCAATGGAGTTGCATTCTGATTCCATGATGATCCAGCTTTCGCATCAATGTCACTCAAACTTAAACGATCATATCAGTAATTTAACAAATTTTTGCCTCTCAAAGTGCCACCAAAAAATCTGATTCACGCCGATGATGGCGTGATATAAAAGCGTGAACAATAATGTCACGCCAGATTCACGCATTTTCACCAGTCAAGTTGCACGAGAGATGCTATATTCTCGCCACCTCCTGAACTCTTCATCGATCTATCTTCATATCACTTAGATCTTCTGTTTGTTTCTAAGCAATGAGTTGTCACTTTCGGTGCAGAAGGTACACACAACAGTGAAAATATTTCGCCCTGTCTTCAGAGAGAATTATACCGAGTAAAATTTTCTTCTTCATAGACCGAACTGTCCCAAAAGACAAAGATGTTCATCAATCTTCCATGTAATTGTTTCTTTAATACACCTTTCCATGGTTCATGACAGGCCTTCATCACTAACGTGATACCCTCAACCGCAATTCGCCTCAGCATGCTATCCCCTAGCTTGGACATCACTGTCTACACACGAGGTAAACGACGAGGTTGAGTAAGTAACTGCTTAGAAAAATAAGTACAGAAATAAGTCCAGTAGAAAAACTGGGTTAATTCAGAAAATTAATTTTCTTCACTGTCAGTAAGATTAAAGCATACGCGTAACTCCTAAGCATGACATTTCAAAGTACAACGGAGCAAGCCATGGGTATTTCAAGCTTCCATAAGTGCGAATATGCCGTGTAAACACGGAGAAAGTATATAAGAAATTAAAATAAGCGCGTACCTATCAAAAAGGGCTTAACGGCGTAGTGGCAATGTCCTATACACCCTAGACGCCCAGGGCCATTTCAGCAAACTATATTTAAACATTATAGGCATACGTGGCATCGTTGCTGGCTGCAGGAATGCCTTTCTTATCAATGACGCCTCATGATCCGACCCCTTATAAGCTTTGACAAAACATTAACGCAAGAAAATCTGATCAACCACAGCTCTTTTGCTTCGCTGATTACACACGCCTTTTAAACCTGTGAGTCACGCGAAACTTTGGAAATCTTACGCAACGTTGTGTAACATGCAATAAATCGCAGTGACAGTAATGAATCTTCTGTCTGACTGATTCCGTGTGAGCAAAAGGAAAATCGAGGGTTAACGCTTTCGGTAACACTATTCAACCATTTGGCAATCACTGTTCGAAGACCACCGAATGTCTCAACATTGTAGGAAAGTTGGCAGCACTCCTTCTATTCAAAGCTCAGAAAAAAAATCAACTGGAACAAAAAGTTTAGTCTAAAGTTCAGCCTGACGAAAATTAGAGTAAATAAAGTAATTCAAAGTTACATTCCGACCTGAATTAACACAGACAGTGTCAGATGCAGATAAACGTGGTAGTCGCAACATCGGAAACTTAACGAAACTAAGACTTACTAAATATCTAATCTGGTCGTTTACATGAAACATGTGAAAGATGATCATCATTGGACTAATACTTGCTATTGTGATAACGTAGTCCCGTCTACTCGACAGTATTAACTCTTAACCTAACACAACCGAAAAACAATTTTTCACGCTTTGCTATATGTTAGCACATTGCACGATGTATTATAAAAAAGTGGTACCCAAGAACTCATTTTTATCTATCGAAAAGATTTACTAATACAACAGAACATCGTTAATTACAAAATTTTTGACTTTAAAAATGAGTATATAACCGCTTGAGTTTTAACAGAACACAATCCTAAACCCTTTCCCCAGGTCATTCTTAGCCATTCGCGGGGTCCTCTGAAGATCGATTCAGCAAGCAATAGCTGCTTCGTCTTCCTTTCCGAAATCATTTGCAGGACGTGCCCAAACCATCACAGCTGTGATATCTCAATCTAGAGAAGCAGTCTGTACACCAAGATTCTCCCAGATGTCTGTTTTCCGGACCATGTCGAGACGCGTAAGGCCAGCGACTCGTCTAAGAAAGCTCATTTCACCAGCTTGTACCCGGGTTCGAAGTTTTTCAGTGATGGTCCACGATTCATGACCGTAGATAAGTATGGGCATAAAGATCGACTTGAATATTGAGAGCTTAGTTTTCAGACTGAGCTCTGCTTCAGTCACAATGGTTCAGGCGAGTTCATGCAGAACGCCACTGGCTACTCCTCTTCGTCCTATTTACCATCATTACTAAACACGACCCCGAAGTAACTGCACTTCTCCACTGTTTATCTGAAGAGAGCAACGAGCAGGAGAACGAGAAGGCACTAGGTTTTTCGATTTGATGCGTTCACACGCATGCCGGCCAAGTTGCACTAGGCTGCGAACCTTTTTACAGAGCGCAGTAGATCAGTTTCGGAAGGTGCCAGTAAAACAAAACAAGCAAACAAAAACCTTATCGACATCACCTAAACAGACACATTCATCGCCTTGGCTGTTCCTGATTATTCTCAAATGCAACACAAACAGGAAAATGGACAGAACGTAGATTTGGCGGAGAACAGTGCCAACGCTGAAAGGCTTCGACTTAACGCCATTTACTCTGACGTAGCACTTGCTATCAGCATATTGCGAAGGAATGGTGGATGGACAATTTCTTCTATTCCAGCAGCTTTGTCCCTTTTCAGGCGGTTTTAGGCTTTTGCAATTTCTCCTGGAAGACTAATCCGTTGTCTGCTGTTCTTCATGGGGGAGTTGATTCGGTTGCTTGGGATTAATGAGCTCCTCGAAGTACTCTCCATCGCCGAAGAATATCCTCAGCCTCAGAAAAAGGGCAAACAAACTTGTCTCTCAGGACTTTTATACCACCCTTCTTTTCACCAAGTAACCGGTCGATGTGTGCCAGAATACCTTGTTTGCTGTCCGAAAATCAGACTCCAACTCCTCATCGAACTTCTCAGAAATCTGCTGCCTTGAGCGGTTCTTCGTACTACCCTCCCGTTGACGGCACTTTGCTTCCAAACCTCCCTTTGAATGCACCCTTCTGGGTGACAGCCAGCTAAACCTCTCATGTCCACCAGAAAGTTCGTTTCTGACCTTTAGGCGGCAGCCCACAATAAACCGCTCCTAAAGTGCTTTCACTCAGTTTCCACATCACCGGTCATCAGTGAAATTTGTTCAAACTATCGGGCGATGCTGTTTGCAAGTCTTACCCCTCCCCCATATCAGCATATCAAGCATATCATGTTTCTCATTTCTGGTTGCTTCTATGCCAGGATTTTCGATTTTGATGGTACTCCAATGTCAGCAACGTACGGTGCGAACCACAAGGTAATGGTCGGTTAACATGTTGCTCTGCGTCTCTCCTAATGGAAACATACGATTATGACATCGATCATCGACTCTCGTGCACAAGCTACTCTAAACAAAATACACTAATGCATGCTGGAAGGCGTTCATAACAGACAATCCGTTGTTTGCACAAAACTGCAATAACATCAGAGTGTTACTGTTGAAGTCGTTAAGGACATTCTTTCCAATCACGCAGTTCCACTTCTCAGTGTCTGTTTCGATATGACAATTCATCTCGCCCATCAGAGTAATGTTGTAGCTAGCACTTCGTAAACAGCGCCTTCCACTTCCTCCAGAAAGGACTCAAATTCTCCCCCTACCAACAATTTAGCACGTAGACCTGCCAAAACTTGAGCCGATTGTAACTTCAGTCAGAGGATTACTACTCTTCCGCCGATAACTTCCATTCCATGATTTAATCGGTCACATTGGGTTCTACCAGGAGAACATCAAATATAATAACCGCGTTGTAGAATGGACACCTGAATAGAATAGGTTCTGCCCCCAGAGGTTCAGAATTTCATAACCATAGCACTTCGCTGACGACATTCTACAACTATGTCGAGTTGGTACCTTGCAACCTCATCAACTAGTTCATGTTCTTTTC